TAATCAGTATCTTTTAGAGTTTTGGTGTAATAAATGTTACAATTGTGTCCTTGAGGAGTCTTTTTTAATTTTCTTTTTTTATTAATTTTAATGAAAGTTTACAGAATTTGGATTTCCATTCATTCATTGTTGCAATTTTATCCCTGACCCCTCACCCCCAATTAGCTCTTCATTGCAGTCTTCATTTTGGACTCCTGTCATGACAATAATACCTAATCATACATCTCTTTCAAACAGTTGTCTGCCTTACCTGATTCAATGCAGTATACATTATTTATCCCCTCTTTCTCAGTCTCCCCTCAACCCCAATGCCAGTCTCATTTTACAACAGTGGCCCTATGCAATATTTGTCTTTTGGGGACTGAGATATTTCACTCAGAAAAATGTCCTCCAGGGTCACCCATTTTGTATAATATTTCATTATTTCCTTGTTATTCAATGCAGCATAATGTTCCTGTGTGAATATACCAGAGCTTCTCTATCCATTCATTTGTTGATGGGCACTTAGGTTGTTTCCAGCTCTTTGCTATTGTGAACAAAGCCACAATAAACATGGTTGTGCATATATCTGCTTAGGTGGCAGTTGTGGTTCCTTTGGGGTGTATTCCCAGTAGTGGAATTGTTGGATCAAATGGTATTTCTGTTTGCAACTTTTTGAGAAAGCTTTACTCGACCGGACCTAACAACAACAAATAACATTATACCTTAATAAAGTTTAATAATGGTTGCCTCATTTTACACTCCCACCAACAGTGAATAAGAGTTCCAGTTTCTCCGCAACCTTACCAGCATTTGATGTTTGTTGTTCTATTAAATTTGTTATTCTTACTGGGGTGAGATGATATCTCATAGTTGTTTTGATTTGCATCTCTCTTAGAGATATGGATTTTGAACACTTCTTCATGTGTTTGTTCGCCATCTGAATGTCTTCTTTGGTGAAGTGTCTGTTCATATCCTGTGACCATTTTTCAATTGGGCTGTTTACTTTTGTCTTGTTGTGGTGCCCAAGTATTTTATAAATTCTAGATATAAGTCTGTTAACTGACATGTCATTACCAAATATTTTTTCCCAGTCTGTGGCTTCCGTTTTTACTCTGTTGGAGAAGTTTTGGATGTGCATAGGGATTTGATTCTTAGACGATCCCATTCATCTGTTTTATCTTCTCCTGGTTGTAGATTTTTCAGGATGCTTGGAAGACTTTATGTTGTGGATTAGGACTTCTAGAGTTCTTCCAAACTTTTCTTTAATGAAGTTTATAGTCCTTGGTTTTCGTCCTAGGTCCATGACCACTTTGATTTGAT